AACCACATGAATTTTTTCTAATCCCTCGTCTTGCTTCTTAATCTCTGCAAGAAGCAGTACCCTTTTGCTTAATATATATACAAAATTCAAGATAGTATATGCATCAATATATGCATTATTGTACAAATGATATTACATGCATGCTATATGCTTATACATTCCAAGTTTCCTAAGCTAGCATTTCAAACATATACATGCAAACATGTATATAATTGTATAATGATATGTATGTTTTAATTCGTTTCTAAAATTGTGCCGTGGAAATATAGTACAGCATTGGGTTTGCCTCTTTTATACATATCTGCATGTAACATACGCATATAAGTTTACATGTAATTAGCTACGCCTGGTATAAGGTAGCCTCTCAATGCCCCCAACACAATGTCCCCACATTCTACTCATGAAATGACTGAGAGCATGAAGGTGGAGCGGGATCATGCCTCCTTGCTCGATCCATGAAGTTTCCACATCTACTGGCATGCAATTCCTACAGGCATCTCTTTATCTCTGTTCTGCATTCAATCCAGAGAAGTGAGATCCTTCTCTCCCTCATCAGTCGGGCTTTCTCTGGTTGTTGAAAAGCCCCCCACCTCCAGCAACTGCTCAGTGCTTTGATTTAATATTTTGCTTGCACTTTGCAATTTTTTTTATTTTTTTTTATAATATTTTTTATTGCTTTTTTCCAAGGTCAAGATACATCATCAATATCACAACAAAAGCGGTTTTACAGAAAAAAAAAAAAAAATTGTTATACAAGAAAATTCACTTTTCCAGATCTTTTTTCATAATCAACTAGACTTCCCCAGATCTTCCGTCCCTGCTTTCTTTACAATAAAATAACCAGCAAATTGCAACCTTGTTTCATATGTTTTTGTACTTTCTTCTAATTATATATTCTAAATTTAAAGTTTTCACAGTAATAACTTAGTTTCCATCATTCTCAAGTCTCAATACTGAAGCATGTTTTTCCCAAAAACTTAGCAAATTCTCAACATTCATATAACTTATAGTATTTTTGTAGATAGTCCTTAAATTTTCCAGTCCTCTTCCACTGCTTTCTCTCCAGGTCTCGGATTCTGCCAGTCATTTCAGCTAATTCCATGTAGTCCATCAGTGCGTATGCCATTCTTCCAGCGTGGGTAACTCCTGTGCCTTCCAATATTTGGCTATCAAAGTGATGAATGCCTCTCTCCACGATTCTGGGTGCCCTTTCCCTTCCATAATTTGGTTACATACCTCCATTAGTGGCTGAACCAAAATATTCCTTCAATGTCTTATAATATTTGGAGGTAAGTCCATCTGGGCCTGGGGATTTGCCTAATTGCATATTCTGAATGGCACTTTCAATTTCCTGTTGTGTTATTTTGTAATTCAGGGATGTTTGTTTGTCTGTGTTAGTTTTTTGCAGGCCATGGTTTTTTAAGAATTTATTTATCTCGTTATCTACTTGGGGTTCTTGAGTAAACAATTTTTTGAAATATCTCTGGAAACACTTTCTGATTTCCTCTGGTTTCTGAATACATTCTCCTTCAACCTCCAAATTGGTAACAAAGTTCAATTTTTGTCTCTTTTTCAGCTGCCATGCCAGCAGCTTCCCACATTTATTTGCTGATTCAAAAGATCTTTGTTTCATCTGTTTAATTTTCCATTCAACTTCTTGATTTATCAATTTTGTATATTGTGCTTGATGGAATTTTATTTCTCTTAAGACTTCTTTTGATTTTGGATTTAGTCTCAACTTTTTCTCACCGTCTCTTATCTTCTCCAAAATCTTGTCCTTTTTACCATTCCAGAGTTTTTTCTTAATAGTATTCTGTTGTATCAGAAACCCTCTCATAACAGCTTTACTCGCGTCCCAGATTATTTTCTTTTCCACCGAAGTATTCAAATTTATTTCAAAGTAGTCTTTCAACGTTTTTTGGGCCTTCTTCACGATCTCCTGATCTCTAAGCAAAGAGTCATTCATTCTCCCATCTGAAGGATCCAGCTGGTGTAAGTCTCAAGTCTATTTTCAAGGCGTTATGGTCGGAGCAGGTTTTAGGGCAGATCTCTATTTTTTTAGTCTTAGGGGCCAGTCCTCTAGACATCCAGATTTGGTCGATTCTTGTCCAGGATAGGTGGGCCTCAGAAAAGAATGTTCCTTCTTTACCTAGAGGATTCTTTGTCCTCCAAATATCAATCAAATCCATATTGTCTGTAAGTTCAAAGAAAGTCTTTGGAAGTCTGCCATCTTTGGTCAAATTCTGATTTTGTGACTTATCCATATATGTGGAGACAACTCCATTCATATCACCCATCAAAATGATGTTAGTATAGTCAATATAGTCCAACATTGTCTCATGCAGCTTCTTATAGAATTCCGATTTCCCGTCATTTGGTGCGTAGATTCCTACAATCAAAAATTTTTCTCCTTGTACTTGAATTTCAATCGCCAAAATTCTTCCTTGTTCATCTTTAAAAATCAATTTTGGTACTAGGGTCTCCTTTGCATAAATCACTACTCCTCTTTTTTTAACCTTGTCTGATGAGATAAATTCTTGGCCTAGTCTCTTGTTGGTTAACACTCTCCTGTGGAGCCTAGTCACATGTGTTTCTTGAAGGCAAATGATGTCTAGTTGTTCTTTTCTCAAAATATGGAAAATCTTTTTCCTTTTTTCAGGAGAATTTGCGCCATTGATGTTCCAACTGAGAAGCTGCAGAGACATCTCGGACCAGTTATTGGCCTGTTGGGGTGTCTCCTTTTTCGTTTTTGTCTGGAGGTGGAGCCGGGTTCAGTCCAAACGAAGGAGGTGGCCAGATACCTGCTATTCCTTTCCGAAGGTCCTCCCCGTGGTCTTTTAGGAACTTTTCTTGCTCCTCTGCTGTTCTGATTCTTACCTTCTCCCCTTTCAAAGTAAAAGATAGTCCTTGAGGGAATTCCCACCTGTAGGGGATTGTGTTGTTCCTCAATAAAGTTGCTAGGTCTTTATATGTAGCTCTTAAATCCAGTAACTGTTTTGGTATATCTCTGAAGATTTCTGCCTTTTTTCCCTCAATCACCAATGAGTTTTTAAAATGCAAGCCGAGTATGTTTTCTTTTTCTTGCCTAGATCTCAGAATGATCAGGCAATCTCTTGGTTTATCCTTCTTGGCCACTCTTCCTAATCTGAAAGCGGTGACGATTTTAAAGTCTTTCTCTTCTGCCAGACCCCAGAATTTAGCTATTTCTGTTGTCAAAAAGCCAATCAGGTCCTCTTTTTCTAATTCTGGGATGTTTCTAATTCTGAGATTATTTTCCCTATTTTTCAGTTCTGCAAGGGACAGGTACACTTGTTGTTCAGAAACCTGTCTACTCAGTGGTCTAACTTCCCCTCTTAATTCCTCTATCCTCTTTTTGTTTTCGTCTGCTTTTGTATTTACTTCCTCGATTATTTTTAGATTTTCTCTTGTAGACTTTTCAATGTTACCTATTGCCTGTGTATTTTTAGTGACTTGGTCTGTCAATTTATTAATTGAGGCTGTCACCTGGTCAAATTTAGCAGCTTGTTCATCAAACCTAGCTGCTTGTTCGTCAGCTTTCTTATTCAGTGCTGCCAACTGCTCCAATATTTCTTTAGAGACAGGATCTAGCCCTCCAGCAGCCATCTCTCCAAGAGTAGGCTGTATAGATTGTCCTTCCTGCAGACCTGTCAAAATTGGAACAGATGATCTGCGTAACTGCACAGGCAAAGTTGATTGTAAAAGTTCCGTTTGTTTTGCTTTCTTTCCAGCCCTTGTTTTTGCTGAACCACTCATTCCACAGCTGTCCCAGTGTCAAGGTCAAATTGTAAATCCCATGGGAAAAGCAATCCCAAAGAAAGTAAACATCCAGATAGAAAAAATTCCAAGACCAGTAGCAGTTCTCAGAGACTAATAATTCCACAATCCAGCAGGGGGAGCTCCCCAGAAATTAGGGAGAAGGATAGGAAATTTCCACCATTAAGTTCCCACAACCACAAAAAAAAAAAAGTTATCCAAAGCAGGGGGGGAACCCTTCACATTCAGTTTAAACTGCAGAGAATAAAAGTTCTTTGCCGAGGTGCATGCAACAGTTCCTTTTTGCAATTTACAAAGTAGCCCAATGTAACTTAATAATTTTATCTACAGTTACCGCAGTCCGATGTTACTTGTATCTGATCAGACCGAGAGCAGGGTTTCAAAACTTTGTAATCCACATGGGAATAGAAAGAGGATCACAGTCTTTGCTCACTTATAAAACTGTTATGTCCTTTCTTTAACTTTTAATCAATCAAAGCCGAATTTGCAGAGTACATTCCAACTCCTTTTAAGTTCCTTTCAGCGCTTCAACTTTAAAGGGACTTTGCTCGATACTTTAAACAGAGCGGAAGACTGACTTCCTTTTTAGCATCTCCCGCTTTCAGCCAAAATTCGCCAAATTAAGTTCAGTTAAAGCCTCAGGTTTCTTACTCACGAGTAGGTTGTTTCAATTCTGTTGTTCAAAGAAGAAAGGTCAGCGCCGATCAGCAGCAGCCGCGCGGCTTCACTTCCGCGGAAAGAGCGATGGATTCACAGCACCGCTACCCCCTCCACGTTCCAAGGCCCCTTACGGGGTCTCTTCTGCGTTTCCGAGGTCGCTTCTGGTGCCCGCCGAACCCCACGGCCACGGGCTCACTCTACCCGTGGTTTCTCTTAGTGGGTCGTCGCTGTGCCGCAGCGCACGACCCTTTTCCGCGGAGCTCCTCCTCAGCAGCTGAAGAGGACCGCCATTGCTGAACGCGCCGCCTCCGGAAGTCGGGAATAGGGGTTTTATAACAATTCACAGTACCTTTAACAAACTAGTTCCCATGATTCTTTCTGTTTAAAGAGGCTGTTTAAAGTGGTATGACACTATTTTGAATGCATAGTGAAAACGGGGGCCTAGTTCAATTTGTTTACCAAAGTTCTTCTTCATCCCTTCGTATAATGAGGCAACTTGACGAGACTATAAATGAGAAATGTGTTAAGAGTACCCAAACAAGTACCTTATCATAACTCCAGTAGTTTGTGATGTCCAGCGATAGGACTGGTGGAGATCTCTGGTCCCATCGCCAATAATTTTTTTCACTGGGACAGCCATTTCGCCTCCATTGTCTTTCTTCTTCCTTTTCCGGCCAACTTCCTCAGCAACAACCGACTGGCTTTCTTCATGAGGCGATATTGCAGCTGGTTCAGGGTTACAGACTTCCATGGGCTCAGAACACCGGAAGGCTGCTTTTAACTCAGCCAAGATCTCCTAATGGGAAGCAGGGAAAAGGGCTCATCAAATGTGAAGGCCACCATCTTTTATGCAGCTTTCAGGCGAGAGATTAACAGCGGCGTCCTTGGAAATAAGCAGCTGAAAGAGAGGGTTGGCAGATGGACTTTTTAGCTCCACATTCTCAGGTTGCCAGCCCTCTAGATGGAGCTTAAGTCCACTCAGTAGCATATCCTGCTGTCAAAAGAATAAAAGGGCTTTTTATATTTTACAAGATCTCAATGACCCTACAAACAATTTATGTAAGACTCTTTTTAGAAAGCACTTTCTACAAATCTGTGTAAGATGAAGCAGCTGCTCAGGCCAAATGTTTGGCTTCTTAGCTCAGCTTCTACAGCTTGTGCAGAAGGCCCCAGGTTCAAGCCCTGGCATCTGTGGCTAAAAGCTTCAGGTAGGCTGGGTGGAAGGCCTTTGCTCAAGTTCATGGAGAGAGCTTCCGCCCTTGGGCTAGTTGAACAAACAGGCTGACCTGGTATAAAGACAGCTTCCCCTGATCTTCTACCTGTGTTAAAGGGAGTGTTCAGGCACTCCCTTCACCCACATGACCTTTCCAACCTCTTTTTTGGTGGGAAGCAACCATATGAAAGGCTTCCACTTCAGGCCTACTTCCCCTTCACAAGAGGTTAGCTTTTTAATACAGGTATTTTTTTAATGTTGGGACGCGGGTGGTGCTGTGGGTTAAACCACAGAGCCTAGGACTTGCCGATCAGAAGGTCGGTGGTTCGAATCCCCGCGATGGGGTGAGCTCCTGTTGCTCGGTCCCTGCTCTTGCCAACCTAGCAGTTTGAAAGCACGTCAAAGTGCAAGCAGATAAATAGGTACCGTTCCGGCGGGAAGGTAAACGGCGTTTCCATGTGCTGCTCTGGTTCGCCAAAAGTGGCCTAGTCATGCTGGCCACATGACCCGGAAGCTGTACGCCGGCTCCCTCGGCCAATAAAGCAAGATGAGCTCCGCAACCCCAGAATCGGTCACAACTGGACCTAATGGTCAGGGGTCCCTTTACCCTTACCTTTTAATTTTTTTACTACACTAATTATAAATGTTTTTTAAAAAGAAAAGAAACAGCTTGTACCTGCTTAAAGACAGGGTGGGTCCATATCCACAGTTGTCTGTTTTCGGAAGTACTATCAATCCCATCTCTGGGTTTCCAAAGGAAAGTAACCGGTCCAAGTGCACCTGCAGGGTATTGGTCTGCCTGGTACATGGTGAGAGCACCCTGGCGCTTCCCAGATAGACAAGGAATAGCTGCAAATGTTGGCCCTGAGAAGAGACAGGCTAAAAATGCTCAAGGAAATAGTGCCCACTTAGAAAGGTAATATAACCTTTGTAACTGGGAGACCACATCTAGAAATAGCATTCTGATTTTAAAATTGGTCAACTGTAATGAATGGATGTAGCAACTACTGCGGTTTTTTCCTTTGTTATTATTGAATTCTAAATAAAGTATTATTCTTTTTAAAAATAATAATAATAGAAGTAGCATTCCAAAGTCTAAACTGGCAGAGTTAAGAGATGGAACATGAGGATGGTGGGGGAGAACAGCTCCTACAGTAGTTTTTGCTTTAAAGAATTCAGAGCTGGTCACACACCAGGTCCACAATGAAACTTCTTAAGATCATTTTATCCTGCTGAAGTTGTATTGGGAATGGAAAGGAAGTGACGGCTTAGTGTTTTTTTCTAAACAAACTTTATGACTAGTCCTGATTAGCTATGAGAAGAATTTCTTCTAGCTGATCAACTATAGACTTGTTTTGTTTTCCCCTCACAGACCAACGTAACATAAAATGATAAACAGGCTATGGTTACACTGGGACAACAGTCCAAACAACAGTTTGGAGAATCTTGAACAAGCCATGTATGCATGTGCTTGCTTATACTTCACCCCCTTCTCGATTTAATTCCTTATTTTGCCTTTTGTTCTAAGCAGAGTTTACTGCAACACACAAACTAGCAAACTATGGTTTGAACCATTCCTCCAAACATGTATGGGAGCCATGGTTTGGAGAATTACTTCAGTATGGGAGAACAGCTTTGGAAGACTTATCTGGAAGGCTGCTCTAAACACAACGTGGCCATCACAAGTGACCGCTGCTGCAAAAGTCACAGTATGATTTATTTTACAAACTTATAACGTGCCACACTAATCACAGGCGTCTATGCCATAGTGGACCTAAATTATACTCGACAGCAAAATAGAGAATTGACTTTCTTGACATCAGCAAATTAAGTGGGAGGAGCAGGAACAAATAATGGAGTGCAAAGAACTATTAAATATACACCCAGCCCTTCATTATGCTCTTTCCCCTTGCATAATACACGGTTTTATTTTGCAAAAATACTAAATGAGCATACTTAGTACCACCCAGCCCTAGACAGCAGGCGCCCATGCCCAACCCAAGAGTTAGCATTCGCAATGTATGTATTTTAAAATAAGGAAATGTTACCTGCATCTATGCTACACATTCGAGCAAGTGCTGTAAGCAGCTCTTCCTCTTTTCCAGTCACCTCCAAGCAACAATAATAAGATAAATCCTGATGTAAAAGAAAAGCTATTGAATTTTAAGCTGGGAAAAATAAACCTGGCATGCTTGAAAGGTCAGAAGAAAACGATGGATTTTGTTTATAAAAAACTGAGTCATTCTTCTAGACTAATTCACATATCAGGAGACTGAGTTTGCAGAAGCATGGCAAGCATTTAGACAATGTGGATAGAAGCACTACTCAAAATCTATCTCATGTGTTAATAAGCAACATTCTCCAACTATCTTACGAGATGCATGAAGACCAAAAGCTATTTCTAGATAAGCAGATTATAACATGTTAACAAGGACTCAAGAGCCAGTATACTTAAGACATGAGGACAGGATGGTACATAGAAACAGCCAGATACTGATAAGCAAACTTCATTCTCTTTCTCCACTCAACAGGTGCTTTAGAACAGGAAGGAGAAAGACAGTCTATGGGATCAACTTTCCCAAGAGGACATGCTCTGGTTTTTTAAAAAAGCTGAAGTGTTTCTCCTGCCAAGTATGAAGGCATAAAAAGCCACAGTACCTGAAGGAGGCAGTGGCTAGTCATGGCCCGGTAGCAGGCCCTATAGCTCTTGGTTGTGGGCCTGTCTCCTAGGCAATACCCCCACTTCTTCACCATGTGAAACCGCTTTGCGTGCCAGATGTGCGTTTCCAGCCACACGTTCTTCTTTTGCCTGCGGTTGAACTCCACCACCAAGTTCGTATGGCGCCGCCTGGCCTTACGGCACTTGCTCTTGGACAGTTCTTTCTTCTGATGTTCAAATTTCTCTGTCTGCATAGGTAGAACAAGGGAACAATGGTTTCCCCCCCTTGAATCTGTTTCCCAAAGGGAAGGCAACCCAATTCAATTCACCCATATGACTTTTAGAAGACATCTGAAGGCAGCGCTGTACAGGGAAGTTTTTTGATGTTTTTTGATGTTTTATTGTGTTTTTAATATTTTGTTGGGAGCTGCCCAGAGTGATTGGGGCAACCCAGTCAGATAATTAAATTGTTATTATTATCTATGGTGGAGGGCACAGGGACTTGTGGGGTTTATATTGGACATAGCACAAATAGAAAATTCTTGGAAATATTAAATAGGCTTAGGGATAGAATAAGAATATGTTAGAGTAAATACTAATAAAGGAGAAGAGGTTAGTAAATGAAAGGAGTCAATATTATTAGAAATATGAATTTGGAGAACTGTTATATAGGTGACATAATGAAATTCAGTTAGAGGGGATTTGTGGAAGTCAGTTATCAATGTAATGAGAATTAGGTATTTGAAGAAACCATTTTTTGTGTTTAGTTTATTGTAGTGTGATGTGTTTTTCCTTGTTGTGTGTTATATTATGTTATTTTTGTGATAAATGTGGAAAATCAATAAAATTCATTGAAAAATAATATATATTGGAGACAGCACAGTGACCTATCACTACCCTCCAAGCCCTCCTGCCAAAGAATATGGAGAAACCGTCTGGCGTGGGGGAAGTCCCATAGAGGCCTGCCATGCCTTGCTGCATTAACACCATCCTACGTGCAACAGCAATTACATTCCCCCACCCCACCCCCCACAAAAGGAAAGGTTATATAGAAGGATGGACTATTACACGGAAGCACCAGCAAGCTAACTGGGAAAACAAGCTAAAGACACACCTCTATTCTGGCAAGCTCACGAAGTCGCCTGGGCAGGCGTTTGATATTGTGGCTCATAGCTCGCCTCCTCATGTGTCTCGGTAGAGACTGAAACACTAAGGTGTTGGAAGACTTCTGCGTAACAGCTTTCAGCATAGCTTTTATTTCTGCAGCACGAGCCTGAACAAAAGGAGACACTGAAATAAAAAGAGAATTTGTTTAGCACCTGAAAGAACTAAATGAGGACAGTTTCCCACTTGGCAGCAATGAGGTTCATAAATTTTGTTAAATCTCTTAAACCTATGGGTGTGTAACTTAAGGTTCAACATGGAGAATGCTGAAACATTACTGGAAGAAGAAGTGTGATTATTAAAAGTCTGGGGTTAATTGTAATTATAAATGAAACTCTCTGAACTCCTCCTCCTTGGCTGTGCAGATGAGTCTCTGGCTCTCTTGGCTTGTTCTTATTGCATTAAGAAATCGGTTTGTTTGGCATCTTAACACAGACATGTTGGGTGATAGTCATTGTTCATTTATGCTTACCTGTGACATATTTGGGCATTTCACAGGAAGCTTTTTGTTGTGAAAAGCCCTGTTGTGAGGTTTCAGAACGCAGATCTGTTGGCAAGTCAAAGAAGAATTACCGTGTAAATTGACTGAAGTCACAGACTAAGAGCATACTACAGCCTATAGCAATAGCCCTGAAAGAAATTTGATTCTAGAATTTGGCAACAACTCTCCTATCACTTAATTCGACATGTATAAAAGTTAGGGTTCCTTTATCTAAACAGCATTTTAAACAAGAATTTTTACACTGAGCCACGTGAACATATTATAAAGAAATTTAAATGAAACTACACTTAGAGATAGTTAACATTTTACAGCAGTGAGCAGTTCTGGAGTTAAGCTGCAGCCTCTTCATAAACACCTAAACACCACACCAAGTGACAATGAAATACATCAGCTGAAGCTTATTGAAGCTTCAGGGTGGTGCATGGTATTCCAATCATAAGGTTTTTTTTGTAGTAACTGTAATACACAATGTTATATGTTGTAAGATTTTTAATTACATTTTTATAGGCATGCTGAGAGACCATTGGTGGTCTGTGGACTGCAGTTTGGGATTCTCTCCTTTATTCCTACGATCGCTGTTGGGACACTCCAACAATGCTGCTTTTCAAGCAAGGAATGAAACACAATCTCTTCTTTCCCAACTGGAGGTATCTGCTGGCCACCTACACTACTGCATGCATACAAACTTGGGGACTAATCAGTTCTGTTCCTTATGTTTGACAAGTGGACCAACTAGCCTAAAAGCAGCACACAAGGGAGCTATTTCTCAACCAATCAGCCAGTCCCACCGCAAATTTCTCCGAACAAATCTCCCTTCCTCCCCCCCCCTCTTCTTCAAACTTATGTGACCACACATAGCCCTCCTTTGGACCAGTGGAACAGGACAAGGGCTGTGTCAAATTTGGCCTTGTTTTTAAAAGGTCCCTTCTCTAAGGTTTCATTCTTATCTCCAGATTACCTTTATTTTTTTAGATTCAAAGTTTCATGGGTAATTCGTACCAATTCAGATGTCTGTACCACTATGGGGATGGGGAACCTCCAGACGTTTTGGGATTCATTTAATTCCCATCCTCTTTGCCCACTGGCCATACTGGCTGAGACAGATGGGAGCTGGAAGTTCAACAACATCTGGAGGACCATAGATTCCCTAGACTTGCACTAAGGCACAACAGCTACCTTGTTTCTTGCATTCAGAGGCTCCATCACCACCATTTTGAAAGTGTATTTCACTGTGGCTTGGCCCACCATCAAAGGTAAAGGTCACATTGGTAGGCTGGTTTTTCATCTTCTTGGCTCTTTTCTTCTCTTTTGCATTTGACATTCCTGTGGGAGCAAAACGGAAGCAACTAAAGATGCAACTCCACCATTACCATCTAGCATTGTAATACAGTAAGCCTGCAAAACATGTGGGAATAATGTTTCAGGGACCATGCCTAAAGCTAAAATTACATACAATCAATGCGCTTCGGGTTCAAGGACAAGTGGAAGTGACAAAATTATTTTTCCTGGAGGCCTACCTTTCAAGTTTTTTTGTTTTTGTTTTTTTTGGCCACTTGCATAAAGCTGAATGTGCACAAATTACATGTGTCTAAGTTGTGGCTCCCATTACTCGGTCCCTGCTCCTGCCAACCTAGCAGTTTGAAAGCACGTCAAAGTGCAAGCAGATAAATAGGTAGTGCTATGACGGGAAGGTAAACGGCGTTTCCGTACGCTGCTCTGGTTCGCCAGAAGCGGCTTAGTCATGCTAGCCACATGACTCAGAAGCTCCCTCGGCCAGTAAAGCAAGATGAGAGCCGCAATCCCAGAGTCATCCGCGACTGGACCTAATGGTCAGGGGTCCCTTTACCTTTTAAGTTGTGGGGTTAATAGCATAATGAATATATGTAGCGCTTCAGAGCTGACCAAGACCTGCAGCTCTTCAAAAGATTCATTACAAAGTAAACATCTTTTAAAAAGAAGATGGTTGCAAAACTATGATTAACAGTGTTGTAAACAAAATCTGCCCCTTTCCCTTATGAAGTAAGTATCCAAGAGCCCATATAGAGTCCTTACGTAGGTTCCCTGTTGGTAGGAGAAAATAACAGAGGCCAACCAGAGAATATTGGGAAGCAAAGAAACTAGGAAAGGAGGAGGAACCCAGAACAATGGAGCGCAAGGCCTTATATAGACATTTTAAATTCCCTGCCCTGGAGCTCAAGACAATGGGGAGGCTTTTCCATTTTCCTTTGACCTTGCAGAGAAAACATTTGCTCAGTTTGGGAATCAAAATGGTTTCAGGTCGGTTTTCCTGTGCTGATCTATACATGTGCTTGGTTGGTACACTTATGATATCTAAGACCTCAAAATTCCTATCACAACAGCAACATCCCACCAGAAACTGATTTCCACCTGTTTTAGTACACCAACACATATATAATCAGGTTTACTTCTGTAATTTATGAAAAAAATATATGAATAAAATTACTATGAAATGAACAATATCAAAGGCATTGTACCAGCAAGTAGTGGACAATGTTGCATTAAGCTTTCCCCTCCCCCTTGCCTGCATTTTTGCGGAGTCATCCCGTCACTATCACAGGCAGTGCCCAATACTGAGTCAGCATCTTTCCCTTATCACGGCTGCACTTACATCGACACCAGCAGCGTATAACAATACTATTTACTCCAGTGCAGAATTCCTTTAGGAGCAGTAAATCGAGGGAAAGCAGCAGCAATTTGGATGGTTAGAAGCGTTCTGGTTAACCACTGCCAATCAGGGCGAAAGAGGCTGGGGAATGAGTCATGGCATCATTTTCACTACCATTTTAATTTGTGCGATGCCACAGCAAACATTTGCACTTATTTTATTTTTTAAAAAATACAGCCTGCTATATCATCTGGAGCAGCCTAGAACAAAAATGCACCAGCAAGGGAATTGTTTTCATGCGTTTTTCCTCCCGCAGGCTTCCCAGGGCCTCAGAGTGGCTAGACTAGACAGCCCTAAGTCTGATCTAGCGGGGCTCTTGTGCTCCAGTATTTTCAATGCATTTTTAAGAACATGCGCTGAAAATTAAGCCCCTGGTTTCTCCCCTTTTTCAAAGCATGCCCTCTCCCCCTGTCCCCGGGGGTACAAGCCAATGAAAAGGCAAGGAGACAGCCCCCCATGCAGCCACAAATGCGTTAGTGTGGGACGTCCAGTTGGAGAGTAGAGAGCAGGATATGTTAGAAACTGCCTTCTTACAAGTCACTTCTGCACCATGGGCACCATTTCAGCCGGGAGAGCGAGCCTCCTTCCCCGTCCCACGCCCTTTCCCCACAACCCGCTACCTGAAACCTGTCTGGGCTGGGCTGATGAAGCAGGCCTTTAAGGAAAAAGGAGTCAGCCAGGCTCTTCTCCTGCGGATCCGGCGCGCTGCACTTCGCCCAGGCGACCACGTTGCGTCCACTTCCGCCTTGCGACACTTTCTTTATTCTCCTATCTGCCCCCTTAAACCTCAAGACTACATGTCCCATAACCCTTCGCGGCAGGAGGCTGTACGGTGGGCGGCGAGGGACTTAAAAGACCGTATTAAAAAAAAACAACCCGCGTGGTTTCAGAGCTGGGGGCGGGGCCTTAAGTTGCTAAGTGGGAGGCGGGGCCTCCGTTGGCTTTTGGGGGGAGGGGCCGGGGCGGAGTGGGAGTCGGTTAAAGTTCAAGCGCAAAGAGCCGCCGGCTTCGTTCATCCAGCGGTCCGTTGAGCGAGGAGCTGCTGCTTGTTGCTGCCATGGCCGCCTTAGTGAAGAAGATCATCAGCACCGCTAAAGCTCCGGCTGCCATGGGCCCTTACAGGTAAGAGCAGCGCTCCTCCTCTGTACGTGGACTGCAGTTCACCTGCGGGACTCGCTGCCACAAGATGGGCAGATGCCAGCGGCTTTAGAAAAGGAAGCGGGGGGGGGAGGTTTCCAAGGAAATCGATGGAGGAATCAAGAATGGCCACTAGTCACTGTGGCTAAATATTCCAGGAGCAGAGAGAGGCATCATGTGTCTCTGAATACAGTGGTTAGTTGCTGGGGGGGGGGGGTTTGCTAGGCTCTGCAAGCGTGTGAAAAATTCAGGAAGTAAGGCAAAGAGCTTCAAACCGCCCCAAATCTGGAAAGGGCTGCTGTATGTTTGGAAGAAAGCACTTCTTCACTCAGCTCGTGGTAAAACTATGGAAATCCTTTCCACAGAGAGAGGTGGTGATGCCCACCAACTTGGATGAGATGGATTAATGGATAAGGCTTGCTAATGGCTACTGGCCATGATGGCTATGCTCTGCCTTAATGGCCAAAGGCAGGGTACCAGTTGCTAGAAGGGTCCTGCTTGGATGGTGAATTAGAGGGGCCTTTGGTGGTGGAGCACGTGCATTGTATGCAGAAGGACCCAGGCTCAAGCTCTGCTGCAGATATCAGGTGATGGGAATGGCCTGTAGCCTGAAACCCAGAGAGCCACTGTCACTTGGAGTAGCCAGACAAATAGTCTGTCTTGGTATTAGGCAATTTCCAGTGTTCTTAAGTGCATTGTGTTAACTTGCTGTGCCCCAAAATGTGAGAGGAGATGTACTTAATGATAATAATAACATAATATCTGCATGTTTACAGCCAGATCAATCAATTGCTTGTGTAAAGGAGTAATACTTCAAAAAAACCTGAGTTCAGCCAAAAAAGTAATTGGTTGAAAGTATTATATTCACGTATGTGAATACCCCAGATGGGCGGGGTATAAATAATAAATTATTATTATTATTCACTGAGTTCAATACTTCAGTTGTAGTCCTGGGTAGAGCGCCATCTTTAACTAAAAATATTACTTCCTTTTACCAACCTGTAAAAATGCATGATGATAGCTTTTTCTAGGCTCTGGAAAATTTCCCTCAGGGTGACGCCTCAGTCTGGCATTCTTTTCTTTTTTTTAACCACCTCCCTGTTGAGGGATGAGGGAGCTACTAATCCTTTCAATTTTTAATAAGGATGTGAAGAACTTTAATACATTTCAAATTTATTCATAAGGCAACCAGAGGCAGGTTGTCATCAAAACCTGAATATATGTAAAGTTTATTGAACTCCTCAAATGGAAAATGCTGTCCTACGCTAAGCTGTCGTAGTAATCTGTCCATTGAGTAAGAGCTGGTTTGCCATTACTGCACTTTTTAATCATTAACGAAGAAGCTAGCTAGACTAAAAGTTTAATTAGTGTAAAATGAAAAAGGCCAAGGAGTCTCTCTTCAAGGCCAAGTCTGGAGTAAGCTGATATACCTGAAGAAGGCATGTTAATAATCTTTAATGAGACCTCAATATTGCAAAAGATATTTTCGTCCCCAATAATAAGAGCTGCGGTCAGCTTTGGTTTCTTAGTTTGTAGTTTCTGTTCTTCACATACCTCAGCATCTGCAAGTAAAGCTATTCTCTTGCATCAAGCAAGACACCAGTTGTAGACATGTCATGTTCATAATGTACATACTCTGAGGTGGTCCTGTTCCTAGGTTGTAGTCTGCCATTAATAATAGGTTTAGGTCCATATCTGAATCCAGACCCAGATGAAGGCCTCCTTCCCCTGTAACACACAGTGGCAATGAGGTTGCATCTGATCTTAAAAATGGAAAGTGTAATGCTGGTGGTCAACAAGACTCTCTCAAGGCAAATTTAAAAAAATGTAGTATAAACACTGACAACTGGGAAACACTGGCTTACGAGCAGGGTCATGGGCTTTGAAGATGCTCGACATGGACTCACCGTTAAAACCGTGTTCATGGAAGACAAGCTTACTCAGCTACGAGTGATCGCCAAAGAAGGAGGTTGCAAGTGGGTGGGTGGGGGGGTGCATGTCATGGTCTGGTTGTGGCCTGGATATGGTCAGTGAGCATGGAATGCTGACCTACTGGGGAAAAGCTGTTTGTTGGGAGGGGTGTGGAGAGAAATTGAATACTCCTTGGAAAATGCTGCAGAACCCTGAATAGGAGCACTCTACATTTAATGGCTTTGACCAAACTGCGGGAGGCAGTGGAAGACAGAAGTGCCTGGCGTGCTCTGGTCCATGGGGTCACGAAGAGTCGGACACGACTAAACGACTAAACAACAACACATTTAATGGCAGGTTTCATCTACATATGCTGAACAATGCTGAGCAGCGGTGATGGGTAGAAAGTAGAAGAATATTTAAGGCACAAGAAGGGGGGGGACTTCCAAAGTTCTTAGGGGAAAAAGCTTAGCCCCATGTGCTCATCAACGGAAGGGATTTTTATCCTTTTGTGGCATGCACTTGGTTTTGTTTACCAACTTGTAACCATTAGTCTAATTTTTAATGTTCTGCCCCGAACAGCAGAAAGGTTGGTCCCAGGCTAGGCTTGCATCATTTTAGCTTGTTTGAAGGTGTTCCCATTTATAATTGAGTGTTGCAATCTGCTGTTCCAAATTAGTTGGCTAGCGCACCATGTATTTAGGAGAGTCCAGTGTTCACTGAGTTGCTAAGCACTTTTTAAAAAACTACAAGGGAATGCTTAACAACACTGCCTAAATTTCCAGAGTAGCCATTTTAATTGGTGTATTTTGAGGTTTAAAGGTAGCTTTCAGTAACTTAGCATTTGCTCTGCTGTGACAAGAACTGTTGAGGTGGGTGAAAGCAAAGGTCTGGCTCACTGTTTCTAGCTCCACTGCTAGTTCAGTTTCTGCTAACAGGATTTTTGCAGAATTTCTTGGGTGTCCATCGTATACTGAAACTCGCAGATAATGTTGTGGTGGTTCATGGATTTCTGTCACTCTGACTGAAAAGTGTGGTGATATGGTTCTCTGAACTCAGCCCGAGTGTTCTTAGAATTGGTGTAGGAATTGGAATGACCAGCAGTGCATTAGATTAGAATATTTGCAACTGCACTGGTTCCACCAAAGAAGAAACTTTTAAGCCTTAGAAGGGGGAAAGAGAACTTGAAATCACATTTATAATCAGTGGCAGATTGCTGCTTTCTGCTTGGATGTTTGCCAGGTGGCAGTGGTTATTGGCACCAACTGAACAGGCATGTAACAAATGCCCAGACTGCCATAAAGCTGTGTGATCCAGCATCCTATAGCAAAACCTACCTTGATGAATCTGTTTGTATCCTGTCCAGCATACAATGATATCTGCACCAGTAACAACAGCATTTCATAAAACACAATTGTTCTTGTAAAATACAGTGGTACCTCAGGTTACATACGCTTCAGGTTACAGACTCCACTAACCCAGAAATACTGCTTCAGGTTAAGAACTTTGCTTCAGGATGAGAACAGAAATCGTGCTCCGGCGGTGCGGCAGCAGCAGGAGGCCCCATTAGCTAAAGTGGTGCTTCAGGTTAAGAACAGTTTCAGGTTAAGTACGTACCTCCGGAACGAATTAAGTACTTAACCTGAGGTACCACTGTACTACAATACACCAGATTCAATAAAGACAGTATGCAGTGCAACCTTGAGTCAACTGCAACAATGCTAATGTCCAAAGGCCTGAGTGAACAGCCTTTGTGTTTTAATCTGGTGGCTGGATGTCTGCAATGTAAGTGCCTGCTGAATCTTTATGATTATTAGTTAAATATCTTTGTTACTTACCATTAGTTTCTTTGGCTTCTGTGCAACACTGTATGTCTCACTGAATTCAGTGGACTTACTGCTGAGTAAGGTGTGCCTAAGATTGCATCGTGAGTTGATTTGGAAAGAGAGCTTTATGGCTGCTTAGGTGTAACCTGCAAGTTTCTAGTACCTCATTTGGGTCAAAACTACACGTTATGTGCAGTTGTGTGTAACTGTAGCCTGATTTTTAGATTATTTAATGGGAAGCATTCACAGGGCGCTGTAATCTTGAGCAGAGCATTGGGGGAAGATCCATCTTTCCTCAAACCATTTTCCCACTCAAAATCCCCCTCCCCTTGCTTTTTCTCCCTTTGGATCAGGATTTCTTAGCAGCTGATCAAAGTTATATTACCTGAGAATTTAGAATACTGTAGCTAACATCAGGACAGAACGAAGAGCAAGATCTTTCTACCACCCAGAAGACT